GGGGGGGGGGGGTGCGCACCACCCTCAGTAAATCCATCCTTGTATTTATTTGTGTAGCTCATTATCTCTTCTCTGTGTCATTATACATGCAGATTCCGATGTTTACGTCATTGTGTTTTATGAAAATACAATGACGTAAACATCGGAATCTGCATGTATAATGAGCTGACGAACTTTATACGTATTTTTAAGCGTTTAATGCATTTTTACCACTGATTTTTACACATTTTGCTGGGCTGCCTAGTATCAAAGTTGACCACCATCACCAGACCCAAATAACCCTCCAATGTGACCCACCAGTCTTATACAAAGCAAATAGTTCTAGGATTGCATAAGCAAATCAGTCATCTTTCTTCGCGTAAATTTCAAATAGTTCATCAATCTCCAGTTGAAAATAGTCCGCAAGCAGTTTCGGGTTGGGGAAGACAGACGTGTCAGCTTTGATGTTTAATCTCACAGTATCGGCATAGCTGAATATCGCAGTTGCCATTCCTGTGCCACCGACCAGCGGAGGCCAGACCATGATGGACTCTACTTCATCTCCGCCTATCACCATCTTATTCAGTGGTCCAGGTACATTGGACATGATGAGGCAACAATGGCGGTTCAACGAGTTCACGCTAAACCGCGCTAGGAAATCGGGGAGGTTGGCTAAAACATGGCTGAATATAAACCCAAATACTAGGAAATCTGAACTGTTCTTTATCGCATCCATTCGTTTCTTCGATTGTTGGATTCGCTCCAACACCGTTTCCCCCGTCACGGGGAGGGTGAAGAATACGCCAGTGGAATTGTTCCCCAAGGGAATATTTTCTTTCATTAACACGGACGGAGGACGCGTGTTGATGCTCACTGCAATCTGGACGTCTTCGGAGCATTGTCCTGTTGTTGATTTGATGTATCTACGCACAGCACCAGCGAGGCAACCAGTCACCACGTCGTTTATTGTCGCACCTGGGAAAATGAAGATACTAACGGATTATTGACCGAGAGTGAGGTCTGTACTGTGAAATATCAGACCGAGGTTTTTTAGTATGGACCGAGCAACGAAGGAGCGAGGTCCATGCAAAAAAACAGAGGTCTGATATTTCACAGTACAGACCGAACAAGCGAGGTCAATAATCGGTTTATTATATGGCTGAACTGAGTCTGTGAGCATATGCTTTTCGCGCGAATTGAATCGGCTATCGTCAGTTTCACTCGGTAACAATATACGGTAGGCATCAAAAACAATTTGGTTGTTTGACATTTTTATCTGTAAAGCACAATTGGAAATTTAAAAAGCAAAAAAATTTTCTGTTTGCAAAGCAAAAATTTCCCGCCAGATAAACGACATCCGGAACACCGGTCCAGATACGGAAAATACGGACCACGGTCCGGATATGGGTTTTTACGGACCGCTTGTCAACCAATCAGAATAGAGAATTTTGAAAAGCCATATAATAATACATGTTAAAGTACCATGATGGAGAGTTTGGATGTTTCCCATAAATAGCCACTAGAGATGCAGGCTGTGATACAGTCATGATAATTCACGATTCTCAGCATGAACTCGACCTTTGAATTTACTATACGAGTAAATTGTTAAACACGTCCGAAATTATCAATACAACAAATTCGCGCAATTACTTATTGGCAGGGGCGTAGGAAGCTTCTAAAAGTTGGAGGGGGGCAGGCTTTGAGGGGCACTTTTCGAAAAAAAAGGGTATCTAAATATTTTTCCCCAGAAATGCTGGCGACGGGGGGGGGGATTTTTCCGGAAATAACAGATTCAAGTTTTCAAAGTGCCCTTTGGGCAAAAAATGCAATCTTAATAACAATTTTTCACGCAAAAAAGGGCACTTTGCTCCAGAAAAAAGGGCACTTGGCAAAACTTGCTGGTTCCTACGCCCTGCTTATTGGGATAAATGAACATCATGAACCTAACCCTAATCTAACCCCTAACCCTAATATAATCTTAATCTAACCCTAATCTAGAATACTAGCGTTCTTAAAGACTCAACAGTGTACTTGGTCTTTAAAATGAACTGCATAAATTACAGGTTTCTGAAAGGTGGTATTCATTCAGTAGACTGAAACTACGATTTAGAAAAAGGAGCAGAATCGCATATACTGAGATATTGGATTTATCTTGTTACAGGCAGACACATTTATGTGCGAATCAAATCGAAACCTTGACATCCCCCCCCTGGGAGTACCCCAATTTTGACGTCCTGCCATCCACTGCCCCCACTCCTATTATTAATGACCGGGCCCGTAAGCTGATATTTTAATCGGGAGGCTAAGTACTTTTCAGAAGTGCAGGGTGTTAGGCGTAAAAAAAAAAATACCTGTGGTTCCGGTTCCAGACCGACCCTATTTTTTTCTGCCGACCCTATTATTTTTTCAACGCGATTGACCGTGCGACCCTGTTTTCTCCAGGTGGTTGCGGTCTGCTCATACAGCGTGCCAAAATGGCATCTGTTGTCACATTAATTATTGAACCAAATTGCCTAAATTCGTCCATAGGAAATACGCATCTCTAGTTAATATTGATGTCGGGACTCTACTGCATATCGCCCAGCAAAAAAAAAACGCCAAAACCATGAAAAAAAATATTCAAAAAAATTTATTTCCGACCTACCGACCCTAATTTTTTTACGCTATGAAACCGGAACCACAGGTATTTTTTTTACGCCTTAGCCAGAAGTAAAAAAATATCCGCGTTTACCTGAAATTGGGAAATTTATTTTAGCCTGATACCGGGCATTTCTTTGTGGGTCTGGGGGCATGCGGTTGCCTGGAAGTTGTTATTTGAGAAAATATCTATTGTTATTTGAGAAAATAAATTTGAGAAATACCTATTTTAGTCTTGACTTCCTTAATCTTTGGCAAACTGACCGCCTCAGTCCAGGCCACTTTTTGTTGTCCTTCCACATCAGATGTCCTCGGGAACGGATTATTAGCAGCAGACAATGCAATAGTTAGCAGACACAATGGACCGGTAAATATGGCATGAATAACTCTCTTTAATGCACTACTTTGGTACTTCTTGATCAACTTCTCGCTCGGCTTCAGAAGTACTGGTTTGTCATCCATTACTTTGCTAAATAGGTTCACCATTGAAATACCATCCCCAATGATATGGTGAGCGCGGGTGAAGAACGCATACTTACCATCAATCTGTAACGGAATCACCACAACCTGCCAAGGGGATATATCTCGTGGCATTGGCTTACTTATAATTTCACCAAATAATCTCTCCAGTTCCACGTCATTGGCCGGAGGGGTGCCCTCGTGACCATGTATGTGCCTACATACATCAAAGTCAACCTCGTTTGTCCAAACGTATCGTCCATATTTTTGATGAATTCGCTTTGTTAGCCGTTTATAGCTAGGATGCCCATCATTGGTTACAACACGGTCGTAGAATAGTTTTCTAAGCTTCTCAACGTCCGGTTTCCCTTTCACCATGAACAAACAAACGCTGTAGTTCTTATTGTGCTCAGATTCATGCATGAAAGGGACGTCTTCGCTAGCTAACAGTTTCCCAATACGGTTGTACAATATCCAAGCAGCCACTGCCCATTTAAATAAATGGAATATAAATAGGAAAGGCAGTGCAATAGAGGCAAACAAAAGCCAAAATGCCAGAGCAAAAATGCACAGCAGAATGTGGACTACAGTTGGAACAGAATTCTCCTGGTATTTTGAATATAAATTCATTATAAGTAATGAGCCAAGCCTGATAGTGGATTAATGAGCAAACCTGAAGATAGAAATTAAAGTATTTGTTGAATGAATCATTTATGCTAGTCACATTAGATTCACATGTGTGGATATTGGTTGCAGGTGGCTTTCCAAGTGGTCTTTGTAGGCTGGGCTTTGCATATAATTTTTTTCACTAAAGGGCAGCAAGACCTATATGCTAGAAGTATATATTTAACTTTAAAAATACTGAAAATGCGACCAGGATTGAACATAATGATTTTTGAGGCATTCTCTGGTTGGAAATATTTATTTATCACAAGCTTTTGGCTGCCTGACTGCAGCGAAACCTCTACACACTGCTTGAACAAATGCTCTCTTTCCCGAAAGACAGACCACCATCCCAAGAACAAACAAATGTGATCTATCGCATAAATTGTGCCGATTGTTTGTCGAGCTACATTGGTGAGACGGGTCGAGCTTTCATCACACGGAAAAAAAGAACTCATGACTCATGTATAATGTTGAGAAACATGAAGCACGCTCAAAGATTACAAATCATGCTTGGTCTTATGACCATAAAATTGATATAAAATTGATTTCAACAATAGCAAGATAATTGACAAGGCAATTACTAGCACCACAGAGCTACACTGGAATCCTGGCACACCATGCTCACAGCTAATGCTGGCATTTAAATTCTAAACATCTATCAGAACAGTACCATTTTTTTATTGAAGAAATAGAACAATTATTAGAGTTCATAGAGTAATATATAGGCGAAACTATCTCTTCCAGTTATTTGTTTGTCACTGTAATTGTTAACCGTAGTGTAATTTTCTCTGGGGGCAGCTACCCCTGCTACCCCTCTCCCACCCCCCACACACCCCCTCACACACACAGTGTGTACAGCCTTGGAGCCCTCAATGTCTAGTTTGGGGTACTTCAAAAACATAAATGTCCCGACGGGCAACCACACTTTTGTGTTTTGAATCAACAATGTCAATGACAGTAGTAATCCAAGCATGGGAGGTAAGAGTATTTGTAACACAGTAGCAGTTGTAACTTGTTAACAGTTAAATAAACACCGGTTTTGTTGTGATTCATTCAACTTCATTGGTTTATTTTTATCTAATTTAATTAATATGGGCAAGTGAGAAATGGCCTCAGGCAACCAAATTGTGAGTGTTGGCTGCCCCAAGGGCAACCACTTTTTTCAAAATTTTGCAAGCCCTGGTAGCATGTGCCCTGCCTTATTATGTTGCTTTGTCTAATAATGCCAGATAATTTTACTCATCAAGGGGAGAGCAATTATCTATTGTATATGCCACGTTGTGGCATTTGGCCAACATGTCACATGATGCTGCGAGTCGATAAGAAATGTGATTCTTACCATGGATTGCTATACCCAAACCAAACTTTTAACCCAGCCATTAATTAAGGCAATTTGTAAAATACACACGGGCGTTTCGTAATAGGGTATATATTGGTATGTCTAGGACTATATTTCAAAGCAATAAAGTATAGAAAATATATACATTATGAATTTGTCTGTTAAGCCCCGATTACACGAGGATGAGAGTTGACAGTTAACGTCCTTGGTTAGCTGTTCTTGATGCTTTCCCAAATCCCAACACTAGCATGTATTCTATTGAAGTTTAAACATCGCTGGAACATTCATCAAACCTTTATTTTGTTAATCTAGAGCTTGAACAACCTCGCAAGCCACTGCCAACTCACATCAACTCTGATCCTATTTAACCGGCACTTTTAATAATATAGATATAACATAATAACAGTAGTCGGCTTCAAATACATGAAATTCGATAACAAATACTTTGTAGGCATGCTAAGATATAGATGATATTAGGTAACAATATATTTTTAATATTTGTTTACACTAGTTTCATACAAAGCCTCCTAATGGCAAGACGTTCCTTTTGCCTCGCTATTTTTTTAATACAGTAAAAGCGTCTCAAATATCTGTTAAAATGGATGCCACAAACATGTTTTTGAAAACTTTATAACACGGCCAAAGTAGTAGAAAGTATTAAAGACATTAAACTTACCTAAAGTTTCAATATTGAAGATTTTAGATTTATAGGGTACCACAACAATTCCTCAGTACAACCTGTTCAGCATTGATTCCCCGCACGTTTCGATGTCGTAAATAATCCTCCTCTGTTTATTCTAATACGTACGCGATTATTCGTTCGTGAAATTTATGAATGAAATAAAAAAATATAAATTGCAAATGAACTACAACGTGTGCGGGTCGGAAACGTCAGCGAGGGCAAAGTTTCGTAATTCGATTCCTCGCTAATTGCCATATTTTCATTTCATCTTTTATCTTTGGCGGTTCTACCTCTGTTGCGTTTATTATATTGTTTATCCAAACAGACAAGCAAAGACTTGTTCCTAATACAAATATTACTAAGCAAAATAAAAGCAATAAAAATTTATAGTGTTAATTAATAAATATTTACACTATTTTAGATATATATTGTGAAAATTAAAATCATTGCGCCCCCCCCCCCCCCCTTCCCAGAACCAGTTAACTACCTCCCCCCGCCCCATCGAAACTGCGGAATTTGGGAAATGAAAAACGGACAGGCGGAAATCAGAAATGCGGAATTATTTTAGTATTTTCTTGTTTCTACTCTTTATTATATCGTGATGCTGTTGTTTTGTAACTCAATTACTTCTCTGACAAGTTAAAAACAATTTATTAAAAAATTCAACATAATAAATCCCTAAAAGTATACATAAAATTGCATTGTTCCTTGTTGTTAAAGTGTATACGAGGGAACTATACTTGAATCAGTGGCAAAGCTAGCCATATCAAATGTCATGATATGCAAATTTTTAATGATTTGCATTATTCAAACCTCTAAACTGCCCTGGGCAAACTAGGAAACATTGTTGTGGAAACATTTGTGATTCTCGATGTTAGTTCCTCAAATGTTTCCATGTTTGCCCACCCGTGGAAACATTGTTGCGGAAACAAAATTTGCTTCCCGGGAAGCAAAAATGTTTCCTACCAAATTCAGAAACATTTGATGTTTCCCTATGTTTCTCACTAATGTTTCCTAGTGTCTGCCCACTCTGGGAAACATGGCGAAACATTGGCAGGAAACAATGTTTCCGCAACAATGTTTCCTAGTTTGTCCAGGTATTAAGAATGCATTGTCTGTAACATATTTTATAGCATAGCACAACCAGTTGCCATGGCTAGCTTCGCTGATTTAAATATATGTCTTAAGGTGACATAAGCATATAACTATTCTTCTTAAAAGTTTTTAAATATTTAAATTACCCTGATCACTTCATTTTCTATATATGACATGTAATAAATTACCAAAAATTTAACCCAAAAATTGATTGAAGCTTGTCACTGGCTATTGGAAGGCTATTGGCTAATTGGAGTAATTGGCGTGTTTCGGCGCATGCGTTACAGGAAAACAAATGGTGGTCAATGTCAGGACTTATAGGGAAAAGAAAAGTCCATTACATCTCTTAACATTGGTTGGTGCATAGGCTATCGAAGGGAAGATGGCTGTGAAACGCATTAGAATAACAATATAATTCATTATCTATGTTAGTCAACGTATATTCATAAATACTGACGGTCCTACACCGTCATGTGTGATTGTATTTTCGCCGAATCCACCAATAGCGAATTCCAATTTATCTATTGTTCGAGCCACGGATAGGTAATTTTCCTAAAACATTGCTATTGGTTAGTTGGGCAAAAACACGATACACAAGTAGGAACTGATTCAACTTTTTCGCGGCGAATTTTTTCGCTAATTTATCACATTGATAAGACTTGTTTTTCGCTTCGCTTCGTGCGAACAAATCGCCTAGTTGAAAATGGGCTTTAGTGTCTATTTGTCCCAATGAATAGACTATTACCAGAGCTGTACGGACGATTTATCGTAAGGGGAGCGGGTATGTCAATGCATTCAAATGCTTATGGCTGTCCATTCTGACTTCACAAGTGATTTTGAGCGCCATTTGGCTTAATAATTTTAATAACATTATAAAATTAGTAAAGTTAAATTTTCTCTGAGAAGCAGTTGTCCCTGATGCCCTGCCCTCGTCGTACGATCCTGACTATATAATGACACGAATTAATATTTGATAAATACAAATTGACCACCAACTGCTGCACGATAGTGAGAATACACCCTTTCGATAATTATGTCACAACTACACTGTTTTCAACTTAGGACCACCTTAAATGGAAAGGATTTCAAGTTGTTTTTTCTCATGGGCTATGCACAGAGACGCAGAACATCCTTCTTCAACACATGCATTATAATTCTTTATTTTGACCAATAAATGTGGAATAAGCTTCGTGTTAATGCTTATTTCCATATTTATTGATCAAAATCCAAAACTTTTTTCATGCATGTGCTTAAGAAGGATGTTCTGCTTCTCTGTGCATAGCCCATGAGAAAAAAAAACTTGAAATCCTTTCCATTTAAGGTGGTCCTAAGTTGGAAACAGTGTAGTTGTGACGTAATTATCGAAAGGGTGTAATTTACCATCTTTATTTTACACATGTTGACTCGAGTCTAATGCTTTGAGACGTTGGTGACCACGCCTTACAGCGAATGGTCCGTAGTCGTCCCCAACAACCGTTGCTGTCAGTTGATCACGAAGACGCTTCGTCATCAGTTGTCATAGCAACCAGGTCCTCTACCTCTTTGGTAAAATTCTCCATGAGGACCATGGGATCGGAGATGACTGCAGTGTCCACCTTCACCGACACCCTGATCTTTCCTGCGTAACTGAAAACTGCAACTGAGATTCCTGTCTCGCTGACCAGCGGCGGCCAGACCATCGCTGACTCAACCACATTACCTAGAATGTTAGACGTGTCATTTAATCATTTAATAAATTTGAGTTTAAAACTTGCAAATGCAGGCATTAATAAAGCAATTTCTGTAACGACTTGTCTCACAAAATGGCACAGGGAAAAGATTACCAAAAGATTACCAGATCTAAGATTAAAAGGATTTGAATTCCTTTCTTAGGTGGTATTAAACAGAGTGTGTGGTTTAGATCAGTTTTAATATCATCAAAAAGCGTCATGAAAGTTAAGCCCTGGTCAAACGAGAACAAGAGTTGCATGAAAGTTGATGAGAGTTGGCAAGCAAGAGTTTGCATGAGAGCAGGGGCGAAA